GTACATTCCCAGCTTCTCAGTTTGTCATTCTTATCTAAGCAGGGAAGATTTTCCTAAACATATTATACCTGGGGCCTGGTCTGTTGAAGCTGTTTCCAATTTATAATGTAGATTTCAAAGTATGTATGTATGTATGTATGTATGTATGTTTAAAATGCAGTAGCTATGTGTGACGATGTGTAACTTTTATTCTTATGGTTATGTGTTGTTTAAACAGTAGTTAATAAATGGTAAGTATGTAGGATTATACTTTGTTAGAGATAGTGGCAGGTTTGGCTTGAGCAGAGTTGCCATAGCAACAGGGGCGGAGCCAACTGCCAACTGCCTCTTCACGGGGCAGCTGTTTGAAAGTGGCAGTCTGTAAGCCGGTGAGCTACAGGGAAGGACTGATTTCTCTAGTGGGAGAAACAGGGAGTTAGTCTGTGACCAAAGAGTTACAGGAGAGGTAGTTGATCCTGTGGTGTGTGGAAAACCATCAGGAATACTATAGTTAGAGAACTATAGGGAAGACTGGTTCTTTAATATTAAGAATCAGGGTTTGGCTGTGAGCCAATAGAGTTAGATAAGTCAGGTGGCTTATTTGTAGTAAAAGAACGCTTGTTGAAGAAAGATATATCTACTCAAAGAAATCTCTTAAAGTCTGTACCTAAAGTTACTCATGAAACCTCACTAATGTAACCTATCAAGATTTGTGCCTCTAGAGAAGAAAAATCGAATCTGTTATACCTTGCTTGTTCCAATAAACTTGTTACTGTTTTCCTCAAGCCTTGCCTGATACAGTTTCTCCTAAGTCAAACAGCCTGCATAAGAAATAAAGTCAAACCAGGGACAGTAAACGCTACGCTATCAAATGAATAAAGTCTTCTGTAAATAATAGTCCCTTTATAAACCAGCTCCTAAGCCCATGATGGCAAACCTATGACACGTGTGTCAGCACTGACACGCGTAGCCATTTTGGATGACACACAGCCGCATACAGAGAAGATGGGGCTGCCTCCCAAGAAGGACATTTCATCCTCGGCTCCTACACCAGCATTTTTCTATAATGCCGAGATATATGGCATTATAGAAAAAGCAGGTAAGTTAAATAATTAGTTTTTGCTTTATTAAATACAATTATATATTACAATAATATATTTTTGTTATTAAACTATAAATATCATGAAATTATGGGTTTTTCTCGAAGTGACACCCTACTCGAGTTATGCTCGGTTTTTTGGCGAGTATTGACACACCAAACTCAAAAGGTCGCCCATCATTGTCCTAAGCTGATATTGATCATTGCCCGGCTTTCCTCACAAATTTGGTGGCAGTAATTTTACCCTCCTTCACACTATGTGCCAAGTATAATGTATTCCTGTGTGGAAAGAGTGAACTGAACCATGAAGGGAACGGCATTCCTAGAGAGGTCATAAATCAAGTGTATAGAAGAAACGGAAGCATTGTATGTCATACGTCACTCTAGAATGCAAGAGGTGTGGACTAGTACTGATAACAGTTAGTGTGTTTGCAATGTTACAATCGGACGGTAAAGAAACAAGTTTACGATATGCTGAGTGTTAAGTAGCTTCTAATGTATATAGCTGTAAAATAAAGTAGTTTATAATCTAAGGTGGCTGTGATTGATCTGTTCCTGCCTTGCTGTGCTGCCGATGTCACTGACATGGTCCTCATGGATAAACTTGGAAAATGTCCCTCTTGCATTGCAAATATAATGCAAACCTTGCAATTCTCCATCAGGTTGAACAGGGCAACTCTTTGCACGCTAAGCACCGATAAGGCTACAAACTTCTCAGGCTAAATGGTCAAGGTTGCAAGGTTCACTGAGATACAAGTGAATGTACCAATGTCCGTGTACATGTTTGTACAACACCTATCTGTGCACAATGCATGCATGTATCAGTGTGAAATAGTACCACATGCACATTTCCAGAATGGATTGAAGCCACTCCGCTTTGAACAAAAATGTCCATCCACTTCCAGCACAAACTTAGGCAGGAGGAAGACTGTTACCCAGCTGTTGTCTTAATTTGCCCTGGAACAACAGGACAAACCTGTCTTACAAAAGCTGGGCAGCCCGGTTCATACTGATTTGGTGTTGTGTGCCTTCAAGTTGCCATTGCCTTTCTCCAAGACTGAATGTGACTTTCCATGGCTTAGCAGAGATGCTAACTCTTGTTTTCATAGAATCATGGAGTTGGAAGAGACCTCATGGGCCATCCAGTCCAGGGGCGGTTCAAGGCGGTACACAAATTACGCTTTTGCATAGAACATGCGTCTCGGGGGGCACTCTTGACGAGCTCTTGAGTCGCCCCTGCCCGGAGGCAGCTCACTCTCCCTCCCTCCTTCCCTCACAAGTGTGTGCACACATTGTCTTCCTCTCCTCTTCCTCCTCGCAGGCCAAGGGAGACAACAATGCCGGCGTGCGTCCCTCTCCCGGCGTTAGGATGTGCGCGGGGAAGGAGGGGCGATGCAGGGTGCGCACTTCCTAATGCCGGAAGAGGGACACACACCGGCGTTGCCAGTCGCTTGGGAAAAGAGGCCTTATGCAGGGAGCATTACTTCCCTAGATCTACACACTATGCTCCTATTGATGCAGGCCAAAATCCCATTCGCTTTTTTTGCCGCCGCAACACATTGTTGGCTCATGTTCAACTTGTCCATGAGGACTCCAAGATCTTTTTCACATGCACTGCTCTTGAGCCAGGCATTGTCCCCCATTCTGTATCTTTGCATTTCGTTTTTTTCTATCCAAGTGGAGTATCTTGCATTTGTCACTGTTGAACTTTATTTTGTAGGTTTTGGCCCATCCCTCTAATCTGTCAAGATCGTTTTGAATCCTGCTCCTGTCCTCTGGAGTATTGGCTATCCCTCCCAATTTGGTGTTGTCTGCAAACTTGATGATCGTGCCTTCAGAATTAAGGTCCAGCACTCAAATCACTACACAGATCTATATTGATTTGTGGAGTCCACAACATACGAGTGTGGAGAAGAGCAAACCACAGACCACCTATTACAATGCAGCCTGGGCCCTGCCACATGCACCATGGAGGGTCTTCTCACAGCGACACCAGAGGCCCTCTAAGTGGCCAGCGACTAGTCAAAGGACACTTAGTATAATGGCAAGTTTTTTAAACTTTGTGTTTTTTAAATACATTACAACTGTACCCTCGGTTCACTTCTGACATGATAACTATATTCGTGCTCTATGACATTCTCCTTTGTCTTGTAAGCTGGGGCTCAGGATGCAATAATGCCAGCTGATCAGTGAGATTCTTCTACCATTCCCATTAGGGTTACCCAGCAGAAACTCCATCAAAGTCATTTTGGTTCCATGTGGAAGAAAAGTGGGGTATAGTGGGTTGTTGTAGGTTTTTTCGGGCTATATGGCCATGTTCTAGAGGCATTCTCTCCTGACATTTCGCCCACCAAGAAAATCCAACAAATGCTACGTCCAGCAAAGGACAAGAGGGATCCTCTTACTTCTGCAGGAGTCTACCGTATACCATGCAGCTGTGGACAAGTCTACAGAGGGACCACCAAACACAGCCTTGCCCAAACACAAATCCAGGAACATGAAAGGCACTGAAGACTACTTCAACCTGAGAAGTTGTTGTTGTGCTGATGTAATTTTTTTTAATACTGGTAACCAGACTTTTTTCATTTTCATGGTTCCTTCCTTTCTGTTGAAATTGTTCACATGCTTGTGGATTTCAATGGCTTCTCTGTGTAGTCTGACATGGTAGTTGTGAGAGTGGTCCAGCATTTCTGTGTTCTCAAATAATATGCTGTGTCCAGGTTGGTTCATCAGGTGCTCTGCTATGGCTGACTTCTCTGGTTGAAGTAGTCTGCAGTGCCTTTCATGTTCATGACTTAGTGATCATTGCCTGTTGTGTGATGGAAGACTGTTGTTTCTTTTGGGATTTTGTAAGAGACTTTAATTTGTGTCTGCATTAAGACTTGTTTTCTTTTGCATTTTTCAACTGCATTTGCTTATCCTTTGTGTTTACTGTAGTAAAGCATTTTTCTTTTATTTACATCGTATTAAGGCTGTTTTTGAAGGGAAACTCAGGACATTATTCACAGCTCACAGCTGTTTTCGAACTGCTTAGGTGGACAGTGAGCTGGGCCGAAGGTCAGGTGCTCACCCCAACCTGGACTTCGAACTGCCAACCTTTCTATTGCTGCTGGTGATTAACCAGCTGTGCTAAACCCCAGCTAATCTTTGCACCAAATAATACAAGCGAAATAAAACAGAATACCATGGTTGCAAAAGCCCAGAAGAGATCAGCGGATTCTGAGCATCGTTTTATTAAGGCTTACATATTTATCTGACGGACAGGAAGAGAACGGATCACCTCTCTGACCAAGTTGCACAACAGAAATCAAGAGCAGTCACGAATAAGTGTGCAAATACAACACACCGATGTTTTGTTTTTAAATACATGTTGCACAACTAACGAGAATTGGCACCAGCACTTTTTCAAACATTGTCCATGGCCCATCTTTCCCAGGTAGGAACTTCTGAAGATAACCATTTTAATGCCTGATTTAAGTAGCAGGAACAGTGGGATATTGTTGGTTTCATGGGTTCTTTGGGGAAGAGGAGGCCAAGGATGGACAGGTGCCACAGCAGATCACTCTTTTTTTAAGTTGTGTATTTTTAATTCACTATAACCGTACAGGGAAAACGTGGCAGGCAAACGTATGCCGCCTCCTTTCCCTGCCAGTGAGAAAAAAGCTACGCTTGGTCAAAAAACACAAAAGAAACCATAGCGTGGTTACGTGGATGCCACTTTTTGTCCATAAACAAGCTTTCTGGAACAAAACAAAACAAAAAAAAGGAAATAGAGAAGCGTATGGCTTTATTATCCTTTGATCTCTTTAGCTCTGGCCCAAGCTTCAATGCTACAGCGCCGCCTCTTTCTCTCTGAGGGCAAAACGAGTCTTCTTCAGAACCTCCCGAAGTTCTGTCCTGCAAGGCTGGCATCAGTTTGCAGAACCCCATGTCACCTTCCTCTGCTTTTTCCAAGCCCCATCCCCACCCCATACACAGTTTACATACTCCTCGGGTTGCATCATTCCGGAGAGAAGGGTGCTAGAAATGGACTCTCAAAATGTCGTGTGTGGCGACCAACCTTTTGCAATTCATACACAGTATCGATAAAGACTTCTGCTTCTCCGCCAGGCAAGCGCGGCAGACCAAGTGGCCACAAGGCAGCTGATACACGGGTTCCGCTTTGAAATATATAGAAAAGGTCCGAGAGCAGGAGGAGCAGCCCTGGCCACCAGCGCTACTGCTGCTGTTGAGATCTGCAGAAAAACACACAAGAGAAGGGAAAGGGAGCAAATTTGCCATAGCCATTTCTCACCAGCGATTCCTTTTAATGCAGAACTTCCTCCCACTTTGGATCACCCTCCCCGTAAAGAAAAGCCACCTCCCTTTTATAGTATAAGATCTGCCAAAGGTACATTTTAGGCAAACATTCAGGGCTCAGGAACAAAGTTTTAGAATCATAGAATCAAAGAGTTGGAAGAGACCTCATGGGCCATCCAGTCCAACCCCATTCTGCCAAGAAGCAGGAATATTACATTCAAATCACCCCTGACAGATGGCCATCCAGCCTCTGTTTAAAAGCTTCCAAAGAAGGAGCCTCCAACACACTCCAGGGCAGAGAGTTCCACTACTGAACGGCTCTCACAGTCAGGAAGTTCTTCCTCATGTTCAGATGGAATCTCCTCTCTTGTAGTTTGAAGCCATTGTTCCGCATCCTAGTCTCCAAGGAAGCAGAAAACAAGCTTGCTCCCTCCTCCCTGTGGCTTCCTCTCTCATGTTTATACATGGCTATCATATCTCCTCTCAGTCTTCTCTTCTTCAGGCTAAACATGCCCAGCTCCTTAAGCTGCTCCTCATAAAATTTTATTAAAGAACAGGCTGTATTGTTTTACCTGAGCGTTGTCAGATTGGTTTAGTGTTTACACTGTGGTTATTTAATATTTAATTGTTATTTTACTTAAGTGATATTTGTATTTACTGTTCTAATGTAGCACAAATCCTATGTAAAATCATACTACGTATTTTTGACATTAATATTGAAATCTGAAATATATACAGAAAGTCTTTACTTTGACGCAGCTGGCTAGGAGTCAGCTACATTAAGATCACTACTGACCAAAATGGTCATGAGTTCCAAGTCAGTCCGGGTCACAGTGAACTTCCGACCAATTTGTGTCGCTTGCTATCGACCTTTGCAGCCCGAAAGAAAGTTGCATCTGTCAAGTAGGAAATTTAGGTACTGCTTATGTGGGGAGGCTAATTTACGACGCCATAAAAATCTCGAGCAAGCATGCAAAGAATGAGGAAGTACGCTGAAGTCCAAAACACCTGGAGGACCAGTTCGCCGATACCTGCTTTATAGGTTTCTGGAAATTCAGGTATTCCAAATCTGAAACTTTGAACAGTCCCAGCAGTTTTAAGAAAGAGAATCCTAGGAACACTATCTCAACCCAGAGTCTCTTCCCAGCCTCTATTGGGAAGAAAAACTCCAGGATGATTGTCACCTACAGTATTTTTTCTTAAACACAGTAACTTTTTACCATGTGCGCTGCTTGCGTTCCATGGGCTGCTAGAACTACCATGCGGCTGCTGCTGTTGCCCCTTTGCCAAGGTGGCCGTGAACAATGGCATGTTGCTGAGTGCGGAGTTCAAGGCGCTATCCAAGCTTTCCGAAAGCCTCTGTTCGTGAGAAACCAGTTCTGCAAAGAGAAAGGTGGGGGGAAAATACACATAGAAATAGACATTCTGGACATCCATGAAAGGATTGACAAATCAGGTGACGATTCAGTTATCAACAGAAATCCAAATGGAAATACAGACATCATTGCTGGTTGAGAACAGGGGTCCAATTCACATTGCTAACAGCTACCAGAGGGATCCTTTTGGGAAGATGACGGCAGGGCACAAATACATGTATATGATAGATTGCTTCAGTTTGAAGATACTTCCAAGGGCCATCCAGTCCAACTCCATTCTGCCATGCAAGAACACACGGTCAAAGCCCTCCTGACAGATGGCCATCTAGATTCTGTGTAAAAACCTCCAGAGAAGAAGTCTCCACCATACTTCAAGACAACCTATTCCACTTCTGAACAGCTGTCTCTACCAGGGAGGTTTTACTAATTTACTTGGACAGCAGTGGCTCCCAAAGTGACCCATTTAAGGTGGAATCAGGTGTCAAACAGGGATGTGTTATTGCCACAACTTTATTTTCCCTCTTCATCGCTATGATACTTCATCTTGTTGACGCGAAACTTCCCCTGGAGTGGAAATCATCTATCGGACAGATGGCAAGCTGTTTAACCTCAGCAGACTGAAAGTCAAAACCAAGGTTACAACAACATCTGTTATAGAACTCCAATATGCTGATAACAACGTCATCTGTGCGCATTCAGAGGAAGACCTACAAGCCACTCTAAACACCTTCACAGAAGCATACAAGAAGCTCAGCCTGTCATTGAACATCAAGAAAACCAAAGTGCTCTTCCAGCAGTCACCAGCCAGTCCCTCTCCAATGCAAGAAATACAGCTTAATGGTGTAACATTAGAAAATGTTGACCATTTCCACTCCCTTGGCAGCCACCTCTCCACAGAAGTCAACATTGACACTGAAATACAACACCGCCTGAGCCCTGCGAGTGCAGCATTTTTCTGAATGAAGCAGAGAGTGTTTGAGGACCGGGACATCCATAAGGATACCAAGGGGCTTATTTATAAAGCTATTGTCCTCCCAACCCTGGCCCTGCGAAACGTGGACTGTCTACAGACATCACATGCAACTCCTGGAACGATTCCATCAGCGCTGCCTCCAGAAAATCTTGCAAATCTCTTGGGAAGACAAGCGGACAAATGTCAGCGTGCTGGAAGAAGCAAAGACCACCAGCATTGAAGTGATGGTCCTCCCCATCAATTCCGCTGGACTGGCCACGTTGTCCAGATGCCCGACCACCGTCTCCCAAAGCAGTTGCTCTATTCCAAACTCAAGAATGGAAAATGAAATGTTGGAGGACAGGAAAAGGGATTTAAAGATGGGCTCAAAGCCAACCTTAAAAACTCTGGCATAGACACTGAGAACTGGGAAGCCCTGGCCCTTGAGCGCTCTGGCTGGAGGTCAGCTGTGACCAGCAGTGCTGTAGAATCTGAAGAGGCACGAAGGGAGGGCGAAAGACAGAAATGTGCCAAGAGGAAGACGCATCAAGCCAACCCCGACCAGGACCGCCTTCCACCTGGAAACCAATGCCCGCACTGCGGAAGATGCAGATCAAGAATAGAGCTCCACAGTCATCTACGGACCCATCAGAACACTGACCTTGGAAGACCATCATCCTCAGATATCGAGGGATTGCCTAAGTAAGTAAGTAAGTAAGTAAGTAAGTAAGTAAGTAAAGCTAACATCTACCAGAGGGATCCTTTTGGGAAGATGACGGCAGGGCACAAATACATGTATATGATATATTGGTTTAGTTTGAAGGACCATCCAGTCCAACCCCATTCTGCCATGCAAGAACACTCGGTCAAAACCCTCCTGACAGATGGCCATCTAGATTCTGCATAAAAACCTCCAGAGAAGAAGTCTACATACTTATTCCACTTCTGAAAAAGCTCTCTCTGCCAGGGAAGTTTTACTAAAGTTTATGTTGAATCTTGTTTCCTGCAGTTTGAATCAATTCCTCTGCGTCTCAGTCTCTGAAGCATCAGAAAACAAGCTTACTTCCTCTTCAATAGGACTTCCTTTCAAATATTTAAACATGGTTACAACAACAAGTTATAGAACTCCAATATGCTGATGACAACGTCATCTAGGGAAGTAATGCTATTCTGCTTTGGTTAGACCACACCTGGAATATTGTATCCAATTCTGGGCACCACAATTCAAGAGAGATATTGACAAGCTGGAATGTGTCCAGAGGAGGGCAACTGAAATGATAAGGGTCTGGAGAACAAGCCCTATGAGGAGCGGCTTAAGGAGCTGGGCATGTTTAGCCTGAAGAAGAGAAGGCTGAGAGGAGATATGATAGCCATGTATAAATATGTGAGAGGAAGCCACAGGGAGGAGGGAGCAAGCTTGTTTTCTGCTTCCCTGGAGACTAGGACGGGGAACAATGGCTTCAAACTACAAGAGAGGAGATTCCATCTGAACATGAGGAAGAACTTCCTGACTGTGAGAGCCGTTCAGCAGTGGAACTCTCTGCCCCGGAGTGTGGTGGAGGCTCCTTCTTTGGAAGCTTTTAAACAGAGGCTGGATGGCCATCTGTCAGGGGTGATTTGAATGCAATTTCCTGCTTCTTGGCAGGGGGTTGGACTGGATGGCCTGTGAGGTCTCTTCCAACTCTTTGATTCTATGATTCTATGGCTATCGGATGGCATGATGACAAACCTCAACACACTGACATTTAACCCTGAAAGTCACAGGAAGCCCAAGACCAAAAAGAGGGAACATAAATAAGTGATGAAACACATCTCCAGTTGATACCTTTGGAGAAAGATCTCTCTTTCTCTTTGCAAGTTGCTTCCAGAAGTAAACAGGAAGGTAGCCATATACTTGGCCCTCTGAACTGGAGCCCAATTGGAAGCAAAACAAGCAAGACACTGCAATTGGCTTCTGACATAAGGTGACACAGAGGAAATAAGCATCATAGAGCTTCTCTCTTTAACTATGCATTCAAGCACTGACATTATCCAAGTCGTGATGATTTTGTTGCAAGGTCACAGCATTCTGAGAGTATTTTTGAATTTAAAAGCGACCATTTAGTGGTTTTAGAATGAAATTGACTCAAATAATAATTCTCTTAAATTGTAATTATAATGGGTACCGATTTAGGCGTCGGAAATTACAACTGCAACTCATTACTTTAAAAGTAATTTCAGATTCTGACCTGGGTTGAATGAAATTTCAAATTTACCTTGACCCTTTGGCTTTTAAAACTCTCCAGATAATCAACACATGGTGTGACCTCTAGAAGGAACAAAGGCAATAAACAACTGACTACACAGAAACAGACGTAAAATGGTATTGTCGAAGGCTTTCATGGCCGGAATCACTGGGTGTTGTATGTTTTCCAGGCTGCATGGCCATGTTCCTGAAGCATTCTCTCCTGACATTTTGCCAGGAGAGAGGCATGAGCTTCCGCTGACAGCCCCAGCTTCTGCCAACCTAGCAGTTCGAAAACATGCAAACGTTGAGTAGGAAGGTAAGGGCGCTCCATGCAGTCATGCCGGCCACATGACCTTGGAGGTGTCTACGGACAACGCCGGCTCTTCGGCTTAGAAATGGAGATGAGCACCACACCCCAGAGTCGGACACGACTGGACTTCATGTCTGGGGAAAACCTTTACCTTTTACCTAATATAATATAATATATTGTATATACATATAATATTTGTAATATTATAATGTAATACAATATAATACTACTAATAACATGATATTATAATTATATAATTTATATTACATGTAATACTACTAATAATATTACAATATAATGGTATAGTACAATATATAACACTGATATTGTACTATGTCAATAATCTAATATACTAGCTGTCCCCTGCCACGCGTTGCTGTGGCCCAGTCTGGTGATCTGGAAATGAAGTAATGAGAATGTGTTGGTTTCTAATATATGTAATGTCTTTATGCTTGAGGGTAAACAGTATTTCTTGTTGTTTCTTTGGCAGTGTTGATGTGGAGATTGTCTGGTTTGCCTACTCTGGAACATGTAACATATCATTGTCCTTCTTTAGGGGTCCCTTTGAAATCTTTGATATTGCATCTGTCATATACATATATGTGTGTGTGAATGGCTGGATGGCCCTTTGTCAGGAGGGCTTTGTTTTGTTGCCCTGGTGAAGGGAGCTGGACTGGATGGCCTTAAGGCAGCATTTTTCAACCTGGGAAGTCAATACACCAAAGGGGGGGGGGTCACCAGGGGGGTGTCAGAAGGGTCCCCAAAGACCACCAGGAAACACAGTATTTCCTGTTGGTTATGAGAGTTTTGTGTGGGATGTTTGGCCCAATTCCATCGTTGGTGAGGTTTGGAATGCTCCTTGATTGTAAGTGAACTATAAATCCCAGTAACTACAACTCCCAAATGTCAAGGTCTATTTCCCCCAAACTCCATCTGTGTTTATATTTGGGCATATTGAGTATTCATGCCAAATTTGGTCCAGATCCATCATTGTTTGAGTCCACAGTGCTCTCTGGATATAGGTGAACTACAACTCCCAAACTCAAGGTCAATGCCCTCCAAACCTTTCCAGTATTTTCTGTTGGTCATGGGAGTTCTGTATGCCAAGTTTGGTTCAATTCCATCGTTGGTGGAGTTCAGAATGCTCTTTGATTGTAGGTGAGCTATAAATCCCAGCAACTACAACTCCCAAATGACAAAATCATAATTTTTTGATTGATGGTCACTCCTTGTGTAGTGAGACATTATGTTGCCAAATTTGGTGTGATTTCGCTCATTGGTTCTTTTGTTTTTAAGGTACTCATTATGAACAGAGCATTTTTATATATATAGATGTCCATATTTTCATTGTTTTCTTTTTCCATAAACCTTGTTAATAAACTCTAATGTGCTTTTAATTTAGATTGTTTATTCCTTAATTAGATACCGCTCCGGCGGGAAGGTAACAGCGCTCCATGCAGTCATGCCGGCCACATGACCTTGGAGGTGTCTACGGACAACGCCGGCTCTTCGGCTTAGAAATGGAGATGAGCACCACACCCCAGAGTTGGACACGACTGGACTTCATGTCAGGGGAAAACCTTTACCTTTTACCTAATATAATATAATATATTGTATATACATATAATATTTGTAATATTATAATGTAATATAATGTATAATACTACTAATAATATGATATTGGACCACCGGGATTGTGGCGCAGCTGGCTGAGTGTCAGCTGCATTAAGATCACTCTGACCAAAAGGTCATGAGTTCGAAGCCAGCCCGGGCTGGAGTGGGTGTCCAGCCATTGTGTAGCCCGTTGTCAACCTTTGCATCCCGAAAGACAGTTGCATCTGTCAAGTAGCAAAATAAGGTACCACCTTGTGTGGGAGGCTAAATTTAACTAATTTATGAGGCCATAAAGAAAAAAGACTCCGGGGAATGTGGAATGCGGAAGAACTTCATCGGTGTCGTTGATGGACGATGGAAAGCAGCAGCTCCCCTGGCAGCCAGAAAAAAGTTAAATAGCCTCAGTGTATTTGCCTGTTAAATGTTGTTTGTCAAACTGGCATTGAATGTTTGCCATATATGTGTTTACTGTAATCCGCCCTGAGTCCCCTGCGGGGTGAGAAGGGCGGAATATAAGAACTGTAAATAAATAAATAATTATATAATTTATATTACATGTAATATTACTAATAATATTACAATATAATGGTATAGTACAATATATAACACTGATATTGTACTATGCCAATAATATAATATATTGTATGTATATATATCTTGTAAGCCGCTCTGAGTCCCCTTTGGGATGAGAAGGGTGGCATATAAATGTCGCAAATAAATAAATAAATAAATAGTATTCAGTCATACTTGCATTCTGGGCAGGAACATATCCCTCCAACAACTCCTAGATTTCAATAAGACCCACATATGGTGATCTTACTCAAACCTGAAGATTGCTTTAAGCGACTGAAAGAAACTACACTAGAAGCGAATGTGTGGGAATGCCTAGGCAAACAAAGACAGAGGAGTCTTGGTACCTGTTGAGCAGTCCATCTGGGAGGAGTTTGCATCACACTCCATTTTCATTTTTTTAGCACAGGATTCCAAGGTAGAGGTGACCAGAGAGTTTGCTGCTGAAAAGCGGGACGGCTCCGTCACCTCGCGGTGGCCACCCAGCTTCTGTTCCACCAGGTCTATCTTCCTTTTGAGAGAAGTCATGGCAATAGAAGAGGCCACCACTGTCCCCAAGGACTGGGCCCGCCTCCCGAGGAGGTTGGTGCCAGGGATGCTGTGCTGGAGGAGGAAGTGGTCAATCCTGGCCTTGAGGGATGAGTGGGGAAGGGGCTGGGAGTGCTGGCTGAAGGCCACCCCGGTGAAGGGGTCGCTGGGCACTCGCCCCCACGAGGCCTCGCTCCGGTTGCACTTCACCAGAGTGCCTTGGTCGATCACTTTGCCGGAGGGCAGCAGCATGGGCAGCGTCATTACCTCCAGGGTGATCGGGTCCAGGAATTCCTCGGGGATGTCCGGAATGGCATCGATCAGCTTCTGCTCCTGGCTGTCTGGGTTGCCGAAGGGCACCACATCGCTCTCCATAGGAGACGGGAGGCTGGCAGCTTGACCGCCGAAGCCTGGGGCCAAGGAGGCGGAGGCCACCCGCAGCACATCGTCGACCACTTCGTGAGAACAGGATTTAGCCGGTTGGCCCCAAACCTCCACTTTCTTAAGGCAAGGAAGGCCTCCGCCCGCCACGTGGGTGATGCAGATCTTCAAATGTGACACACTGCTCAGGGAGGTCGGGCCTTTATTCCACAGGTCCAGAGAGGCCGAGCCAGAAAAAGAGAAAGAAGTGTCCATCTGGTGATGGAAAGGAGGCCTGGGCTTGAAGCCTCGGTTGCTGAAAGCCACTTTGCTTTGATTCTTCAGCACTGCTTTCCCCACTAGCGTGAACGTCTCTTTGTCCAACGCAGGTTGCCCAGCTGAGAACGGAGACTCTGGGCTGGCCCAAGATGGTTTGCTCAATGAGGTAGATGTATAAATATCCAGCCCTGTGATGTTGTGACAACCGCCAGAGGAGACGTCTATATTAATCCGGTAAATTTCTACATTGAATGGGAAAGACAGAGTCACGTGGACCGGGGGCTTGAGGAAATATTCACAGCGGAAGCCACGGTTTCTCTTGGCAAGATCTTCTGAGATCAGGTTATCGACTTCATAGCCATCAGCAGAGATCTGCCAATAAAATTTTCAAAAACAATCTGAATCTATTGTAAACTCTTTGATTGCTTTATTGTCGAAGGCTTTCATGGCCGGAATCACTGGGTTGTTGTAGGTTTTTTCGGACTATATGGCCATGGTCTAGAGGCATTCTCTCCTGACGTTTCGCCTGCATCTATGGCAAGCATCCTCATGCAGGCGAAACATCAGGAGAGAATGCCTCTAGACCATGGCCATATAGCCCGGAAAAACCTACAACAACTCTTCGGTTGCTATTATAATGAACACATGGAATACAATTCAGAAACATGAAAGTTGGTCTCGAAAGACTCGGACTGAATTAAAGCCTTTGAAAAGGAGAGTGAGAAGACATGCTTAAAAGTTTTTAACTAAAATACCTGAGAAGGACGCTTTTAACTTGAGTTCATCTCCAACTACAGTAAGAGATTTTGTTGTTGTTGTTGTTACTATTATCATCCCACTGATCTTGCACTGAAGTTGTTTAATGTCTTTACTAACAATCAGCCACAGCCATCGCTCACAAAGAGCTTTATATATGCTGATGACCAAGCAAAAGACTTTGAAACAGTTGAAAACCAACTTCCTAATGCCTTGAAAGATCTTTCCAATTACTACAAAGATAAACATCTGAAGCCTAACCCTTCTAAGACACAAATTTGTGCTATCGACCTATGGAACCATGAAGGAAACAGGAAATTGAAAGTTATCTTTGAAGGCTAAGTGCGCGAACACTGTTCTCACCCTAAATACCTCAGTGTCACCTTAGATAGAACACTAGCATTTAAGAAACACTGCATGAACACATAGTACCTGCACACATCCTGCAGAAACTTACTGTCAGCGCATGGGGTGCAGATCCAAAATTAATAAGAACATCAACCATGGTCTTTTTCTTACTCAACTGCTGAGTATGCCTGCTCTGTTTGGCACAAGTCTGCCCACGCAAAGCAAGTGAACACAGCATTGAATGAAACATGCAGAATAATCACAGGATGTCTTAAACCTACACCTGTTGATAGATTCTATAAGCTAGCTGGCATTGCCCCCCTCCCTCATGATATAAGATGGGAAGTTGCTGCTTAAAAAAAAAACTGTGAAAGTCACCCACTGCATTGCTATCAGCCTCCTCCCAGTAGATTCAAATCAAGGAAAAGCTTCATGAGAACCACCACTCTTCTTAATGTTCCCCCAGCAACAGCAAGAGCATCCCTGTGGGCAGCTAAACCAGGAAATCCCAATTGATGACCCCCCACGAGGGTCTGCCTCCAGGGGCAAACCAAGAATAGTCGACTTGGAAGTCCCTGAACAGACTCAGAAGTGGAGTGGGAACATCAAAACACAACCTGGCAAAATGACACTACCTAGAAGAATCCTCCACCTTGTGTGACTGTGGAGTAGAACAAACAACTCCACACCTGTATGCTTGCCCACAATGCCTTGCCTCATGTACAGAAGAATGGTTTAAAGCTACAGACAATGCGGTCACTGTTGCCCAGTTTTGGTCAAAATTATTTAGCCGCTTCTGCTCCTATTTTTATCAGTTTTATATTTATGTCTGCAATGCTTATGATACAAAATAAATAAATTATCATCCTACTTTATCAATATCATACGAAAGCTGACTGGCACAACCTGGGGATCACAACCAGACACAGTGAAGACATTTGCCCTTGCGCTATGCTACTCTGCTGCTGAGTACGCATGCCCAGTGTGGAACACATCTCACCACATTAAAACAGTAGATGTGGCTCTTAATGAGACATGCCGCATTATCACGGGGTGTCTGCACCCTACACCACTGGAGAAATTACACTGTTTAGCCGGCATTGCACCACCTGACATCCTCCGGGAAGTAGCAGCCAATAAAGGACCAAGGCAGAGACATCTCCAGCTCATCCCCTGTTTGGGTATCAGCCAGCACATCAAAGACTTAAATCTAGAAATAGTTTTTTAAGATCTACAGAGACACTCGCTGGAACACCTCAGCAAGCAAGAGTCCAAAAGTGGCAGGCCCAAACCCAGAACCTCAATCAATGGCTGATACCAAATGAGAGACTCCCCGCTGGGCACACAAGAGGACTGGGCGACTTGGAAGGTGCTGAACAGACTGCACTCTGGCACCACGAGATGCAGAGCCAACCTCAGAAATGGGGCCACAAAGTGGAATCCACGACATGCGAGGGTGGAGAAGAGCAAACCACTGACCACCTGCTGCAATGCAACCTGAGCCCTGCCACATGCACAATGGAGGACCTTCTTGCGGCAACACCAGAGGCACTCCAAGTGGCCAGATACTGGTCAAAGGACATTTAATCAACTACCAAACTTGCAAATTTTGTTTTTTGTCTGTTTGTTTTGTTCTGTTATGTATAAATAGTATACATGAGAGGAAGCCATATGGAGGAGGGAGCAAGCTTGTTTTCTGCTTCCCTGGAGACTAGGACACAAGGAAACAATGGCTTCAAACTACAAGAGAGGAGACGCCATCTGAACATGAGGAAGAACTTCCTGACTGTGAGAGCCGTTCAGCAGTGGAACTCTCTGCCCCGGAGTGTGGTGGAGGCTCCGTCTTTGGAAGCTTTTAAACAGAGGCTGGATGGCCATCTGTCAGGGGTGATTTGAATGCAATATTCCTGCTTCTTGGCAGGGGGTTGGACTGGATGGCCCATGAGGTCTCTTCCAACTCTTTGATTCTATGATTCAATGGTTGCCCTGACATGACAAATAAATAAATCCTACTTTATCTCACTAAAAAAGTGAGCCAAAACAGGTAAGAAGAAAGCTATACACCATATTTTCTTAGCATGTTTTACCAGCACTCTAATGCAACATGGAGTTCTTGGGGCATTGATAGAGGTACAAAAGCAAAGCTGGAAGCCATCACAAATTGCAGAGATTTGTGACTACCATATTTTGGAGCCTTTCAAATCAACAAGAACATGCCCTTTGCAGCCTAAACGGAAAAAGTAGCGCTCAGATGGAGGAGGAAGATTAATTTGAATCCCAAACAGACATCAGCCTGATTTAAATAAGGTCTTCAGGCAGAAAATCTCCTTTTGATATGCACCAAAGCTGCAGCAGGGTAAAAGTAACATTTCCTTTTAAGATAGCAAGAAACAAGGAAGCCACTTGATGATAGGATCATAGGGTTGGAAGAGACCACAAGTCCAACTTTTTGACTTGTAGGAAAACAAAAATCAAAACATTCCCGACAAATAGTAAGTCTAATGGTTTGTTCATTGGGGATAGAGGAAGGAACTGGCAAAACCACCTCTGAGAAGGCTAGGAAAAGTCTATGGAATTCATGTGGTTATCATAATGTAAACCTGAAGACATAACACATAATCACTCTATGGGTTCAGCCTGGGAGCATCTGCAAAGGATGCAACTCTACTCCTCCACTTGGGGAAGCTCCAAAAAGTAACTTTTCTAAACTCTGGCTCTGCAACTGAACAGGGGAGGCTCTTCTGAAAACTAGGTGTCTTTCTCCCTTTAACAGGGAAGAAATCTGCTTTGTGCTTCTGTATTAAGAGAACACAAGAGCCTCCTCCTTCTGGGAGTATTTGTGTTTTTCTTCTGGTGCCATGCAAATAATGTGTTGGGAGAACTCTACAGGTGCCATTAGCCACATTTCTGAGAAAAGATATGCACGAGCAGCAGGGAGCTCTTATACATAACTACTGCTGATTTAGTTCTGCAATTAGCTGTTGAGTCAAAATGCCCCATGATCCTGAAATGAATACTTTCCCAACCCAATGTTGGTGCTGCCCCCCCCTTTTTTTTTGTATTGCAGACCACGTACCTTATTACAGTGGATTCTCGGCTTAAATTGTGGGAGGCAGACATTGATTACCATCTTTATGGTCCGAGAGGGAGACCACCTCCCAAATCTTCAATGGTATTCTAAAAGAAAAACACAAAAGCTGTGATTGCCTTCAAATGACGGTGGACAAATGATGTGAGAGATGTATGGCAAGGAGAGATGTGCTGGATCACTTCAATGCCCTTTTTGGCCCATCACTGCTCTCATTGTGTAGAGCCAGATAATTCTGAAAAGTCCACAAACACATGAGCAACTGGGTTGTTGTAGGTTTTTTCGGGCTATATGGCCATGGTCTAGAGGCATTCTCTCCCGACGTTTCGCCTGCATGAGCAACTCTCTGTTTTCTCATTCGTTTTCTTCAGACAATACTATCTTTAATACAACCAGGCCTTCCACACCTATGGGTTTAACTTTTAGATTTGATTAATATGGTCTTCAAGCACAATTACTGTATATGGTCAATGTCTTGCAGAAGCTGGCAAGTGTAGAGATCCTTAAGTTTTCTCAAGCATTTTATTCGGTTCTCCCACTTATGTTTTGTGCCCCGAACACAAGCAAATACAAAGGGCTGACAATACATAGATATTACGATGGGGAGCAACTCATAAATTGCTTTCATATTGACATTCAACCCCACAGTTGCCTCATGTGAATATAGTGCTGTAATTTCTAAGCTATGGTCAGAGATATATAAAGAGCATTTACAAACATTCTAGTCCTCAATGAGGGAGTTCCTATTCTCTGGAGGAGCTTTTTTTCTGCTGCTCCAGGACACAGCACAATGGATTCAAAGCAGATTATACTTAAATTTCCTGACAGTAATTTGACAATAGAATATGCTGCCTGGGAGTTCAGTGGTGTCTTCTTCTCCAGAGGTTTTTAAACAGATACTGGATAGCCTCCTGTGGGGAGTGTTTTGATTATATGTTCTTGCATGGCAGAAGGTTGACTAGATGGCCCTTGTGATCTCTCCCAACACTCCGATTCTATGAAATTTCTAAACAGTTGTTTGTATAACAACAACAACAATTTCATTTATTACTCACCTTTCCTGATGGGTAGAGGCAAAGTACAAATTAAAAATCCCACCACCCCCCCCTCTCTATATATACTAGCTGTACCTGCCACGCGTTGCTGTAGCCAACCTTCCGCCCTCTTTCTCTACTTCTTTCTCTCCTTCCTTCCTTCCTTCCCTCCCTCTTTGCTTCTTTCCCTCTTTTTCTTTACGTTCTTCTTTCCCTTCTTCTTTCTTCCTTCTCTACCTGTTTCTTTCCTCCCTTCCTTTGCTCTTTGGTTCCTTGTCTCTTTCCTTCCTTCCTTGCCTCCCTCTTTCTCTCTTTTGTTCCTTCTCTCCTTCCTTCCTTCTCTCTTTCTTTCCTTCTTTCACTTTTTTATTTCCTTCTCTCCTTCCTTCTCTACCTTTCCTTCTCTCTTTCCCTCCTTTCCCTTTCTCTCCCTCCTTCTCTTTCCTTCCTTCTTTGTATATGTTTTTGTGTGTATATTTGTGTATATGTGTGTGTTTGTGTGTATATATATATATATGGTTTTGCGTATGTGTTGTAATGCATTTTTTGCTTTTTAAGTCGTTTTTGCTGTGTTTTTCAGTGTTTTTATGAGTGATGGTCACTCGTTGGCCAGATCGATGTATTGTGTCCAAATTTGGTGTCAATTCGTCCAGTGGTTTTTGAGTTATATGTATTAATCCCACAAATGAACATTACATTTTTATTTATATAGATGAATGAAAATTAATACCAAACACAGTTACAGAATTGACATATACTGGTAATAGAATGCAAATCAAAACTCATGATTGAAAGTTGATAGGTCTACCTAACTTTGCATTAGAGATGGGTCTAATGCAAAAGGAGATAATACGTCTCAATTTTCCTCTTGCAATCTTCAGTTTTCCTTAGCAAGCATAATATAGCTGGGTGAGCAAAAGACACCCACTTCATGTAGGTTCATGTAGAAGGCTGGGTTTGCAACCAAGCTTGACTAGCTGCAATAGCAAAAGGACTGGGAAATGTGCCTGAACTTCAGACCACTGCGAAATGGAAGACAGCACCCCAAGACTTGACTGGAATGTGAACAGAGCTGGGTTCAATCCTTGGATTGGGAGGGTTTCTCACCTGGATGGCTGGGAAAGTCTCTGCAGAAGAACATAATTGGCCAAGAGCTTCCAAGAGAGAGACTACAATGTTTTCCGCCATTTAAATTCATGGAAGTCATCTGATAACTAAATGAGTTCTCAAAATTTGACACAAATAAAGACCTATTTCGTCTGGTAGGCTTACCCATGAATTTCAACTTTACATTGTATTAGTATTTAAAGTTTATTAGTAAGATATTTTATCTTCTATTTGTATTGTACTAGGTATTTTATAGTAATGTATTTTCTCTGGATGTTTTAACTGTGCTGTACATCACCTTGTTAACAAATAATACTTATTGTTGTTCTTGTTCTTCTAAAGCAGCAATTCCCAAACTTTGGTCTTTAACAGTGGTTCTCAATCTATGGGTCCCCAGGTGTTTTGGCCTACAACTCCCAGAAATCCCAGTCAGTTTATCAGCCATTAGGATTTCTGGGAATTGAAGGTCAAAACATCTGGGGATCCACAGGTTGAGAACCACGGGTCTTCAACGTTTTGGATTTTTAACTCCCAGAACTCCTGTTGGCCTGGATGACAAAGGCTTCTGGGAGTTGAAGGACCAAAATTTGGAAGCCACTATTCTAAAATATTCCTGGGCCCTTCAGAACCCTCCTCCTTTATTTATATTGCAGCCTCACTGTGTTCTATATTCATTCAGACCCTCCAGTTTCATTCTCCAACAAATATTTTGAAGTTGCTACACCACCAAGAATGTGTTCTGTGGGAATTCAATTGTTATTGTCTTTTCCAAGATGTCTGATTTTTTTTGCAACATTAGACCCATGCCTTGTAATAGGAAAAATAATGATACAGAGGGGTCATATCCATGATCCTAGGCAGATCTCACAGCAGGAATTCCTACCATCAGCTGCAAATGCTTACAGTGCTAGATATGTTTCCTGAAGGTTTTCAAGCAAAATAGCCCAAGGTCTCATGTACTCACAGGAGAAAAGTAAGCTATGGAGCTTGTGTCTCAGCCACTGCCATATTTAAGAATGATGAGCATTGCAGGGAAGTGTAATTGTAATAAGAAATTCAATGTACAGATTTGTTAAATGTGAATTTAATATCATGTTTGGGAATGAATGAAAGAATGGAAGATGTATAGATGGAGCTAATAATTTTGGAGACACCAGCATAATATTAAGGCCTGCAATGACTAAACCTGCTTGCTGGACTGTAATTAAAAGTTGCTAATAACAACTGAAAAGTAAACTCTGATAAGAACTGGGATAGTGATAACAGAAATGTTTGCAACATTCCTTATGTTAAGAAGGAGGTCAACACAAGCCTTGTGTTTGTTAACACCAATCAAGAAGATCAATATTTGGCCAGGAAACTGAGATGGAGCCAAGATGGAAGAAGTCTATCATTAATTTACAACTTTGGGACTACATCAACAGAATATTCCTATAAAAGACTCTAATAATGCTCAGACCTGTGTGGCAGACCTGAGGAGTCTGTTCCACCCGCTATGCTCTGCTCCATGGGAAGGAGAGAGATAGTGTACCTATGCAGAGTGGCAGATTTGCAAGGTGGATGTCTGGTCACTTTGGGCCTTCTTTCTCAAGGGAAGAGGAAGAAGTGCGCTTTTGGAGTCTTGCATTTTGTGCAGAGAGTCAGGTTCTGCTGTATGGAAAAGAGATCTGGTCCTTGGCATCTTTCTTAGGGAAAGAAATTTTGGCATTTCAGCAGTTTGTAGTTTTGGTGTTATGTAAGTTATGGAACCATGTGTTGGCAGGCTGCAGGAAAACAGGGTCTGGCCTAACAGGTGCTTCTCCAAGGAGGAAGAAAAGAATATGGTAATATTTGAATGCTTGAGGATGGATGCATGTTCATATGTGTGTGAATGCTGAGTGAAAATGTAATTCCCCCTTGTTTGTTTGTTAACCAATGTAATTGTAAATCCAATGTAGTTACATAGAATCTGTATGTCTGTATGTCCAATGTCATTCTTCGTCTAAATGCTTTAAAGTTATTGAAAAGTCATTCATGACATAATGAAGCATCTACAGTGATGAAACAGTATGATACAAAATGGGAATTCTCATAAGGCATCAGATATTCAGGTAATTTGAGTGCTGAAAAGGAACGAAGATCACAGTCTTCTAAAATAGTCTATCCTAGGATGCCTTACAAGCATCTTAGGTTTGTTAATACCTATTTCTAGTTTGAATCAAAACTTCCAGTTACTATGACCTAAAAATGACAGCAACAGTTCCTAGTGAATGCCATTAAGCTTTCCTTACAATGTAAGTCAGGTGAATAATATCCTTATAATTTCAGAAGAACATTATTACTGGATCCCAACTTCCGAATGGGAAAACCAGTTGCTGCAACTCAGGAAAAGGTTCTCCTGCAGTGCCAGATAATGACATGTATCCTACATGAAGCAGAGAAGAAGACTATAAACTGGAGGTGCCCGAAAGGGATTGAAATGCAGTTCAGCAGTAACTGATACTGAAGGAACATGCCTGTTTTGATCAATGAAAGACCACATCCAAGTTGCAATGGGGGAGTCTAGTCACACAGAAGAGTCAAAATATTGACAAGTTCATGCTATCGTAGAATGGCTTGGAACAGGGGTCCTCGAACTAAGGCCTGGGGGGCAGATACGGTCCTCCAAAGTAATTTACCCGGCCCGCACTCATGGTCAACCTAACTCTGAAACCACTTGAAAGCACACAACAACAATCCTATCTCATCAGCCAGAAGCAGTGTGCATAGGAATAAATTTATTTTTAAATTATAACCCGGCCCTCCAACAGTTTGAGGGACTGTGACCTGGCCCTCTGTTTAAAAAGTTTGAGGACCCCTGGCTTGGAGGCTAAAGTTAATGCTGCTATTGCATCTACCAGGAACATGTTCAGCTCATGACAGTAACTGAAACATCTGTTTCAATGATAATAACATACCATCATTTGAAGTAATAGCTCACAGCCAAGGAACAGGATTAAAAGTATTTCAGATTCCAATGAGCCATTATAATGCCAGCACAAAAACTTCAGAAGAAAATATGCCAAAAGTTACTGACTCATGTGTTAAAACATCAAGTATCCATCATCAAAAGTGGGCTGCTGCAGAAAACTAGAGAGCTGCATTAGCCTTTCAGGAGATTATGTAGGGCTGCAGGATGCACCTGTGTTTACCCAAATATGTTTTTGCCCAAAATATTATATCTAGGAGACATGGTATATGATTTGGAACCTCCTTGCATTCCTATGAGACTTTTTTAAGGCATCCCCTCTCTTTAAAAAAAGTATTTTGGCCTTAAATCCTGGTGAAAATCTATGTAGGCATTTTCTTCAAAACCTTTTTTGATATAGGGCTCCCACAGAAATGGCCATTACGGCCACCCTTGGTCTATATCAGTGGTTCCCAACCTTTGGATCTCCAGGTATATTGGACTTCAGCTCCCAAAGTTCTTAGCAGCTGGTAAGCTGTCTGGGATTTCTGGGAGTTGAAGTTCAAAATGCCTGGAGGCCCAAAAGTTGGGAGCCACTTGTCTATATTCATATACAATACCAAGGGATCTTCAAACCAACAATACCAAATGTCTATTCAATCCCTTGATGGGAATTTGAATGGGGGATTTTTAAAGAATAATTTCTGATTAATAGGCCACTATTTGGTTCTGTTCTTGTGTTTACTAAACAGTTTTCTTTCTAAAGGAATCACCATTTAGAGTGATCAACACATGTAAGCACAATAAATAAATAAAAAGCAATAAAATCATTTTATGTTCCATTTCTAATACTATCCTCAGAAGAAAGGTGATTAAAGTACAAAGAGGGACTTAAACAGGTTATGTTCATGTGAATATTAAAGGAACTCCACCTTGTTCATATCCACCACCACTATACAGGTAAAGCTAATCTAATTTTTCCTACCTAAAATCAAAACTGAAAGAGTGATTAACTCTTGCTATTTTTAAACTGGGATTTAAATCCCAGTCTTGTCGCAAGACCATCCTGATATCACGACGACTTGATAACTTTCCCTTTCCCCATGACCTTTATCAGGAAAAAGGACACAAAGCTATACTAACATAAAGTATTTTATTTACAGAAGAGTCACTGTCAAATCCATTTATAAGAAGGGAACATGCTGGATATGAGCATTATCCATTCCAAGAATACTGACAAATTGGCACTGCGGAGAGATCACAGTTCTTTAGCAGTTTCGAAAAGTCAGTTATGTGCCAGTGGAAAGACAACTGATTGCGTCAGCTTGGCTCAAACTAAAGACACCAACATGTCCGCTTCCTAATATTCTGATTCTGTGTGATATTGGTTTTTCTCTCAAACCATAGATCCAAACACTTTATAGTGCAAATAGCTCAGTTTTTCAGAACGGCTGCGACGGAGTAATGGAAACCATTCCCAGAAAGGTATTTCTATCATGACATATCCAATTCGACTGAGTTGCCTCCTCTTCAAGCTATGAAGCCCTAGTAGGTGTTTGGAGCCATAGCAGTATTGGTTCCTATGTGACACCTGAAGAGCTAGTTTCATGCCTCCGTTTTGCTCCTTGTTTAGAGGAGGAAGAGGACTCTCAGAAGGTGTCTTGGGTTGGGTCACAGCATCCAAGATGGCCCCAGTAAGGGGAACTCCATCAGTAAATGAAAAGTGATCCCAGGTGGAGAGAGACTGCTCCTGCAATGCTGGCCTTTCCTGGAGGCACACATCCGTCTTGTCTTCAGTATCAATCACAATGGACTGGCTTGTAGGCTTCCCCTTCACAAGCTGAGACATTAAATCATCTGTAAGCACCACCCCATTCTCTTTTAGTTCTAATTTTACTGTAGAAGGAGCTTCTGAGTTAAATGGCAATGGTTTCCGGTCACAGTCTAAATGAATCTCGAAATCAGTTGATCGTGTGTGAGGCAGGATCATGTGGTGCTTGATATACTGGGGCCCACCCAACATATCCTGCAGCAAAGAGAGGGCTTCAGTCACTTCTTCTTTCATGGAGATCTCCTTCTGCGCAAGGGTCCATAACATCTCTGCTGCCTCCTGCCTAAACTGCGAGGGAAGGCGGTGCCCCGTGTAACCAGGGCATTCGATCTCCACCGTGCCATCAAGGGTGAAAAAGTCCCTGTGGAGGTCAAATTTACTACTGCTGCTTAGTTTGAGGAACTTGGGACTCAGCGCATAGTCGATCAAGTCGTGGGGGAACCGCTTTGCAAATGCCAGCGCTAACAAGCAGGTGAGCAAATGCTCTGGGAATCTGTCAAACTCGTGTAACTTTGCGTGCACCTGTTCCTCGAGGCTGGCATAAAATTCCTCAGCATTGGGTGGCTCATAGTTCAAGCATCCAAACGACCATAACAATTTGGCAAGGTCTTTGCTTCGGCAATAAGCTGCCCTGGGAGGCACTGAAGCCGCAACAGCATTCATAAGCTTTTCATTCAGATAATGCAAAGACGAACAGGCGAGGGTTATGTGCATAACGCCCTGAATGCCTATAGTGGGTATCCGAGGGGGAATCGTGTTCTCAAGTTGCTTCAGAAAATCCACATGATCAACATGGGTGTAACGAAACATCTTAAGGACATTGACTAAGGCATAATTGCTGATGTCTGCCATATGGGCAGATACTTTATCTCCAATTTTTCTCATAGTCTGTTCTGAAACACCGTTTTGAGACTTAAAGAACCCTAAGCAAACAGCACCTACTTCCTCCAGGCTGAGAGAGTCCAAATATTTCAACGTCAAGATGTCAAGTTTCTTTACCAGCTCTTCAGGGGCTTTGCGCCCTTCACCAATGAGGTAGGCCAGCTGGACCAGTTGGGGCAGAGTGAGGTCCTTCCAATGGAGGTTAACATAGCTCAGCACAATCTCTAAATACCGTGGGACAACCCGCCCCAAACATCGCCACAGATCAGCCACCAGCAGCTGCTGGTCCAGATTCATGCTCCACGCTCGACGGCAACATTCGGTTTCGTACACATTCAGCATGGAGTGCGTGGGGGGAATGGTTAGGCCCACAAAAGCCCTCAGAACCGCAATAAGCTCAGAAATATCAAACGCTTGGATGTTCTCAACTCCGTAACGGCACAGCATAGCAAACCTGGTGTTGGACATCAAGGCTGAGCGCTGTTCTTCTGGCAAACAGCTCAGTTTGAGAAAATAATCAGCAATGGCTCCAGGTTTCAGGCTGCTTTTGAAAACAGCAACTTTCTGCAGAATATTATGACACTCTTCCATGGAAAGGGGCTCGGGGAGTTCGTATCTGCTGTAACACAGAGATCCGTATTCAGGCCTTTGTTTCTGGAATGTCCTGGGATCTTCTTTAGTGTCATAATCCTCTACATTGGCAGTTTCCCTATCATCTTTCACAGGGACCAACCTAGTTGGCTGCTTCAAGAAAGCTTGGGGGGAGAGGACTTTATTGTTTTCCAAATCCAACAGTGTGTTCTTTGTGCTTGAAAGCCTCCGTGAGCAGGTAATGCTGTATGTATTTCGCACCTGTTTGGCACCAATTCTGCCATAATCACTCTCAAGCATTCTACCCTCCAAACCCTCAGAGACATTTTCATGGTACACACACTTAACCCCTGGATACGCCGAGGGATTGAAGGACACCCTGTATTCTGGAGGCTTCCACAGTCGGATCATAGCAGGATGTTTTGGTTCCTTGTCTCTCTCTTTGGCGCTCTGGCATTCTTCTGCCTTCCTGGGGAATATCTTCCTCCTCCAAGCCTGAGTTGTGGTTGAAAATGCCGCCGCCCTGCAAGATCGCCCTGCAAATCTTCGGCACATAATCCCCGCAGTCATGGTCACAATTAGCAGGTGGGAATAGGTTCCAGGTACTGAAAAAAGGGCAGATGAAGAATGAGTGGCTTTCACCTGTCATGATGGGATCTCTTTTCTTTCCTAACATTACAACAAAGTATGTTCTGAAAGGCAACACTCATCCAGCGTTTCAACAGCTGCGGCACAAAAGATGTCCAACAGAAAGATTACTCGCTCAAGAGTCAGATGGCCCTGACGTTATCCCATCACATCAGACATTACTCAAATGCATTAGTGTTCGTTTACATACAAGAGCGCAGCATGTCTTAAGCTATCCATGAACAGTTAAGGTTGGGTGCAGAGCTATCACATGCAGTGAGGGGGAAAAAAGATCCAAAGGAACTACAACCAAAGATAAGGGTCTATGATGGCTATCATGCATCTTGTTTACATAGCTTACTAAGCTCATTTCAAGAAAGCATTGGTGGCAATCCTTCTGAAAACACACATTCACTCTGGATAACATAGGTGTGGGATGTATACCCTCAATGATTGGGACTGGAAGGAATCAGTGATGGAAAGAAGCCTTTCATTTTCTCTTTCTTCCACTTATAATATCCACTTATAACATTCACTAGGAAGCCTCCGGTGGTGCAGTGGGCTGAAACGCTGAGCTGCTGAACTTGCTGACCAAAAGGCTGGCGGTTCGAATCCAGGGAACAGGGTGAGTTCCCACTGTTAGCCCCAGCTTCTGCCAACTTAGCAGTTCGAAAACATGCAAATGTGAGTAGATAGATCAGTAGGTACTGCTTCGGCAGGAAGGTAAAGGTGCTCCCATCGGTCATAATGGGCACATGACCTTAGAGGTGTCTATGGACAACGCTGGGTCTTCGGCTTAGAAATGGAGATGAACACCACCCCTCAGGGTTGGACACGACTAGATTTAATGTCAAGGGGAAACATTTACCTTTTTCTAATCATCCATGGAACCACAGGCTCACCAAAATCACATAGACTCATTCAATTAACTCAGTCAAGAGAAAAAGCTAAATTCCTGACACAATCAAACCAAAACATACCCTTGCAAAACACACATATTCCTAAAGAGAAGAGCTGATAGAAAAAAAACCCCCTGGTCTTTATAAAACACTGTTGGAATGAAAATGAACAAAATCTGGCTACCAGTATTAAAAAACTCTAAAATTACAACAGCACAACAACAGAGAGGAAACAAACAAGGACATCTAATCACCTCTCAACAAAAGATTGCTCCAGGCACTGCCAGGCTATCAAATGCTAATCAAGGTGGTCAGTTGAAACATTCACACCTAACTCCAGCAGACAAGAGTCCTTTGTCCCACCCTGGTCATTCCACAGATATATAAACCCATTTTCCTAGTTCCAACAGACCTTACTACCTCTGAGGATGCTTGCCATAGATGCAGGCAAAACGTCAGGAGAAATGCCTCTAGAACATGGCCATATAGCCCGAAAAAACCTACAACAACCCACTGTTGCTTCTACTAGTGAAATTATATTAAAATATGGCTATGTATGTGATGCATAAAGCATATGGAATGAAGAAAGTCATCTGACGGGAAGGAGTGAAAGCATGACTACGGATTGGTTGTACGTTTGGATGGGATTTTGAAAAGGACAGGGAGAAATGTGAATCAGTCACAGCAATTTATGAGTTTTAGCCAGAAATGTGAATTAGAGTTATAATGAGGAGAGTAAAAAATGAGACAGTGAAAGGGATGAGTGTATTTCAAGGTAATTTACAAAAGTTAGTTTAGTTCAGCAAAGCTTAGAGATAAAAAGTGAGATATGTTAAGGGTCAACCAGAATTACTAACCAAGCCTCGAAATTCTGTAACTGAATAGTATTAATTATTTTTATATACAAAAGTATCTGTAACCCTTCATTAAACGTCTGTTTAAAAAGCATTCTTGCATCATATCCATTTAGTACTAGTGGAGTAGTTAAGTACAGGTACCAGTCTGCTGAGGATCTACAGGTGAACAAAGGTCCTTTCTCCATTATACCACAATTTGTCATTTCCCCAGTTTCTGTGCAGGGTTTTCCCCATTTTAAAAAAGGAAACACCTCTCCTGAGGTTTAGTTACAAGCAGAAAGATTTTGAAGGGAGCTGGTCATTTAGTCCCACCTATTTGCTTTGGTTACCTCCCAACATTGGAAGTATTTGAAATTAAGTCTGAGGCAAAAAGGTATTTCCCATCCAGATGTCAAGAACATCCATGAATTTTCTTTTTTCTTCTCAAGGTAGAGGATCTTGATATGTTGAGCCACCCTGTTCCAATATCAACAACACTGGCAAGTTTTCACATCCCCCTCACAATTCTCTTTCCCTGTTGTTTTCACAAATTTCATAATTTTCTATACAAAACTAGTCTCTTCTCCTTTCGTGAAGCAAAAATACAGTATAAGCGACAGCATGACAGGCATATTGATGAAAGGGGCACAAACAACCCAACCACGATGCCTGGTTTTTAGAAGTCCATTCAACAAGGCAGTAGCTATTTTAATTTGGTGGTGCAAACTACAATGTGGAATGTTTTATCTATACAGTACTTAAAAGTGTTACCAATGGCACAGAGATTCCCTGAGAAATTCAACATTCCCTACTTAAATCTTTGCTGGATGAAGACGATAGCGAAGCTTTGAAAGCTTACACAATGTACCATAACTGCAGGGCTGGTCAGAAGTAGATCTTGAAAGTCTTGTTGTTGTTTATTCGTTCAGTCGTCTCCGACTCGTGACCTCATGGACCAGCCCACGCCAGAGCTCCCTGTCGGCCGTCACCACCCCCAGCTCCTTCAAGGTCAGTCCAGTCGCTTCAAGGATGCCATCCATCCATCTTGCCCTTGGTCGGCCCCTCTTCTGTTTGCCTTCCACTTTCCCCAGCATAATTGTCTTCTCTAGGCTTTCCTGTCTCCTCATGATGTGGCCAAAGTACTTCAACTTTGTCTCTAGTATCCTTCCCTCCAATGAGCAGTCGGGCTTTATTTCCTGAAGTATGGACTGGTTGGATCTTCTCGCAGTCCAAGGCACTCTCAGAACTTTCCTCCAACACCACAGCTCAAAAGCATCTATCTTCCTTCGCTCAGCCTTCCCTAAGGTCCAGCTCTCACATCCGTAGGTGACTACAGGGAAGACCATGGCTTTGACTAGGCAATGGATCTTTGTTGCCAGTGTGATGTCTCTACTCTTTACTATTTTATCGAGACTGGACATTGCTCTCCTCCCAAGAAGGAAGTGTCTTCTGATTTCCTGGCCACAGTCTGCATCTGCAGTAATCTTTGCGCCTAGAAATACAAAGTCTGTCACGGCCTCCACATTTTCTCCCTCTATTTTCCAGTTGTCAATCATTCTTGTTGCCATAATCTTGGTTTTTTTGATGTTTAGCTGCAACCCAGCTTTTGCGCTTTCTTCTTTCACCTTGATTAGAAGGCTCCTCAGCTCCTCCTCACTTTCGGCCATCAGAGTGGTGTCATCTGCATATCTGAGGTTGTTAATGTTTCTTCCAGCAATTTTCACCCCAGCTTTGCATTCCTCAAGCCCCGCACATCGTGGGGTGGTAAATGAATTAGAACCAGACATCCTGAGGAATGAGGTTGAATGGGCCTTAAGAAGCATTGCTAACAACAAGGCAGCAGGAGACGACGGGATCCCAGCTGAACTGTTTAAAATCTTAAAAGATGATGCTGTCAAGGTGATGCATGCCATATGCCAGCAAATATGGAAAACACAAGAATGGCCATCAGACTGGAAAAAATCAACTTATATCCCCATACCAAAAAAGGGAAATGCGAAAGACTGCTCAAACTTCCGTACAGTGGCTCTTATTTCTCATGCCAGTAAGGTAATGCTCAAGATCCTGCAAGGAAGACTCCAGCAATACATGGAGCGAGAGTTGCCAGATGTTCAAGCTGGGTTTAGAAAAGGTAGAGGAACGACAGACCAAATTGCTGGAGAAAGGCAGTTTCAGAGTTTCAGAAAAACATCTACTTCTGCTTCATTGACTATTCTAAAGCCTTTGACTGTGTGGATCATAATAAATTGTGGCAAGTTCTTGGTGGGATGGGCATACCAAGCCACCTTGTCTCTCTCCTGAGGAATCTGTACAAGGACCAAGGAGCAACAGTAAGAACTGACCACGGAACAACAGACTGGTTCAAGATTGGGAAAGGCGTACGGCAAGGCTGCAGACTCTCACCCAACCTTTTTAACTTGAAAGTCTTGGAGTACAATTAATATGGCTGGCCTCCAGAAAAGGCAGACTGGAAATCTGAATGAACAAACTTGGGCTTTAGGAAACTCTAGCTTATCAGGTCAGTGACTATTCCGGTCCATATAAGCAACAGTGGCTGTTTTGGGAATGTTGCTGGAACAACTCTTCCAGATTTCAGCAGAAAAGTTTTCTGATGACTTGCATCCTGATCCTTTTTTATTGCAAGTTCAATAGGTTCTATTACTGATTAGAACCCTGCTCTACAAAGGCAAATATTCCAGACAAACTTCTGTGTCTTTCCCAAATTCTTTTCATATTTTATAAAAGACAGCACAAAAATACATGGCGCACAGAAGAGGAGCTCCTCCATTCTTTCCCTTCACTCTGACTTTCTACTGAAAACACCCTCTTAAAATGCTTTTGTTCCTGACGGAAAAGGCACACAACAAAATTTGTAAACAGATAATTATGGAACTGCAAACAATACAGAGAACTACTTTTCCAAACAGATCTTGATCTAAAAAGGAAAGAAGTCTGATACTGCCACCTGGTGCTGAATAAGTTAAACTACAAATAGGTGTGGAAACAGAACCAAAAAATCATATATATACATACATACACACATGTTGTTGTTCATTCGTTCAGTCGTCTCCGACTCTTCGTGACCTCATGGACCAGCCCGCGCCAGAGCTCCCTGTCGGCCGTTACCACCCCCAGCTCCCTCAAGGTCAGTCCAGTCACTTCAAGGATGCCATCCATCCATCTTGCCTTGGTCGGCCCCTCTTCCTTTTGCCTTCCACTTCCCCAGCATAATTGTCTTCTCTA